AAGTGAGCCTTGACGCGCCTCGGCGTCGACATGGGTCAATAATGGCGTCGATGACCGCGTTGGCTGGGCTTACCGCTCTTTTATCGAAATAGTGTCACCGCTTGAAATAGTCAGTATATAGTGTGTATATCGTGGAATCGAAGTATTTGTTTATGGAGGTTCCCAGCCTGGGGTTTCTGTTGGTCGTAAATTCCATCGAAGCATTCTGCGAGGACCATGGCGCGCCGCGACGACTTCTACCTCCGCTACTAGTACGCTCCATGCGCCACGTATGTCCGTGGCCGCTAACGAACCCCATATGTAGCGTCGGCCACAAGGGCAAGTTTGGCCACGAGTACATGGAGTTTGAGCTCCAGTCGAACGGCCGCCTGCGCTACGCCAACAACTCGAACTACAAGAACGACTCGATCATCGAGAAGGAAGGTGCGTGGGCTCATTGCGCTTTCTCATGCAAAGTCTCATGTGCACGAACCAGTGGTCGTATCGCAGTCGGTCCTCGACGAGTTCAAGCGCATCATCGAGAGCAGCGAAATTGCCAAGTACGATAATGGCACCGGCCCAAGGCGAAGCTCACCGGCGATGTCGTTGTGTGTAGCGAAGACGACCGCAAGTGGCCCATTAGCGACCGCGTCGGCAAGCAAGAGCTTGAGCTTATTCTCGATGACAAGCACATCTCGTTCAGCGTACGGTCCTGGCGCATCTGGGAAGTGCGCTCATGTCATCCCCTATTCTTTTTAGTGCGCAAAGATCGGGTCGCTCCTCGATGTGCAAGACAGCGACGATCCGGAAGGCCTCCGTGTCTTCTACTACCTCGTGCAGGACCTGAAGTGCATGGTGTTTTCGCTCATCACGCTCCACTTCAAGGTACAACGCCTTAGATGTAGGTTTCCGTCCTCACGCCTCGTCTTTGCAACTAGATCAAGCCGATCCCATAAGCGATGGGCCGTACTGCCACGCTCCCTAATCGAGAAAGTATTGAAAAGCATCATCGTTGCTTGGCTTGCGCCCGAGACGACGGACCAGACTGTGCTGTTTGCAGTGGCGCCAGCCCCTCGAACTCGCTTGTTGCCAGTGGAAGATCGCAATGCGTAAGGTCTCTCGCACCGCCCTTCGTTCTTGTCATGTCCTCTAATCATGGCTGGATCTCTCGACGCGTCGCTACATTGCGCACGTCACCCTCTGCGTCACCCTTGCCTCACGTTAGAGACGAGCCATGTCACTCACTCGAGTCGCCAGGACGGAGGCGCATGCTGGATCGGGCAATAAGATCTCATGGAGCCATCGACGCCCAAGAGCCATGAAGGCGCAAACACAGCGCCATGGGCCGTAGACGCATGGGTCATGGAGACGCGTCGTAGGCAGCTTCAAGAATCTGGTTCTTCTCGCATGACGTCGGTCGCTCCGCCGCCAGAGCCAGCGCCCCCTCGGCTCGGCGAGATCTTTCTCGACGAGTTGTTCCGGATACCGTGGAACCCGCTTTGGATTGGCTGCTGGGTGCCGAATTTCCCTGCAATCCTTCTATTTTGCATATCCTGTCACAATCGATAGGATTATTCCACTAGCATGTACACTGTATGCTGTCGATGAGCCTCTATTATCGTATACCTGGTTATGCCACATAGCCTGTAGGAATGCATGCGACGGCGCGCGTCCTTGCCCGACCAAGCCCGGGGGCGCGCGGAGAAACCTCTGAGACTTGATGCGTGGATTTTTCGGTGCGAGCGTTTGTTTCTACAGCGTTTTCGTATACAGGGGTTGGTAACGGTGAAATAATATTTCGACGAAAAAAATCCGCCAACGGGAGACCGCATATCTCAACACGTCGGCAGCGCGGAAGAGTCGGCGACCATGGCCTCCAACAAGACGTGCCACTTCAAGCTCGTGCTCCTCGGCGACACGGCCGTGGGCAAGTCCTGCCTCGTCGTGCGCTTCGTCCGCGACGAGTTCTTTGAGTTCCAGGAGCCCACGATCGGCGCCGCCTTCCTCACGCAGACCGTCTCGCTCGACGATGGCATGACGGTCAAGTTTGAGATTTGGGATACCGCTGGCCAAGGTAGACTGCAATATGGTGGCGTGCTCTCATATGGCCTATCGTAGAGCGCTACCGCAGCCTCGCGCCCATGTACTATCGCGGCGCGGCGGCGGCTATCGTCGTCTACGACGTCACGAACAAGGTACGCAGCTGCGTGGTGGCACGGTTGTGGCTCATTGGCTACCACTCTGAAATAGGACTCGTTTACAGGCGCCAAGTCGTGGGTGAAGGAGCTCCAGCGGCGGGGCGACCCCAATGTAATCATTGCGCTTGCCGGCAACAAGGCGGATCTCGAGGCGCGCCGCAAGGTCGACTTGGAGGTGCGTGAATTGTATCCCTGCTGAAATCAGGCACCCATGCGTGGCATGATGACGGTAGGAGGCGCGTCAGTACGCGGAAGAGAATGAGATTTTGCACATGGAGACGTCGGCCAAGACGGCTGTGAATGTCAAAGACCTCTTTGTGGCGATCGCGCAGAAGCTGCCGAAGAACCCGCAGCAACCGGAGCGGGATGCGTTCCCGATCACGCCCGTGACGCCACCGAAGAAGAATGGCTGCTGCTAATGCAATCGCCTGTTTTGCCTGCGTGTTCGTTCGGCTCCACTCGTAGAGGCATCGTCTTTATGACTGAAAATGAACATATTTTATTTCGGTGCTTGCATCGCGCTTCTTGAGGTTGACCTCATCCACACGTAGCAATAGCAGTACAGAGGGTACGTAGATAAGAAGTGAGCTTACGAGCTCTTGCAATGCGCGAAGTGGTTCTTGGCGTCGTCGTCGATGCCGACCGTGCCGTTGATGCCAAAGAGGCGGACGCCGTGGAGCTCGGGCAGCTTGGCGAGGATGAGGACGATCCAGATCGGGCAGTTGATGAAAAGCTGCGTCGTGTCGTAGTTGGACGAGACGCTCGCGAGCAAGAGGAGCGCCGTGGGCACCAAGATAAGAAACTTCTTGACCCACGTCCACGGGCGGCCGTCGTCAATCTGCTCGTAAAATGTCATCTCGCGGTACTCGCCCGAGCCCATCGAGCCCTCTTCCGGCGAGCCCTTGATCCAGTGCATGATCATGAACGAGATGAAGCCATGCACAATGCTGACGCCGGTCCAGGACCACGTCGCGGGCAGCACCATGGTCACGATGGTGTAGATGAAGAGGAGGAGGATGCCATAGAAGGCCGCGAAGCCTGGCGAGTCCATCCAGTTGACGTTCTTGTTGAGGCAGGGCTCCATCATCGTCGCGCTGCGGCTGCTCGACATGGTGGCTGCAAGGTGTTTCTTCGAGTGAAATCCCAGACCATAATTTTTGCCTTGTTCTGGCATCCGAAAACGAGCCAATCCGACGCGAGCGTCGCTTGGAAAAGCGCCGACCACGCCTTTCGATTGGCCAAAATAGCGCACCGGTTCAAGTTTGACAGCGCTCCCCTACAGCGCAGTTTCTTTTTATTAAATCACTTGTAATCTGTATGCCGAAAACCGACAAGTGCAATATTAATATAAAGCGAAGCCGAGGACCACGGTTGTGTCGCGTTTTTTATGATGATGATGCAAGGGACCATCTTCGAGGTCTCTGCGCTCGGTACACTTTATGTATGGTGAGGACGCATGGGCTCGACTGTCGCCTTTGCTGGCGCAAACTGATAAAGCTACGAGAAATGGTTTGAGCTATACCTTCGTGTTGAAAATGACAAATTTCGAGTTTCAAAATTACCCGTGGCAAGATGCAGCCGCCACTGGATATACCCGAGATTGGTCCCTCGTGTTATAGGATCGGCACTGGGCAAAAAGCCGACGACTTGCACGTTCGCTTGGCATTGAAGACGCATGCCCGCTCGAACCCGGAGCAAAACCATTGATAGCGTTTTATAGCTGCACCGTCACGTGCGACCAGCTCTGACGTTGTCGACGGCGAGGAAGTATCTTTGGCGCCCCGTCGCGCGATCAGGTCACGAGTCTGTGTCTAGGCCACATGCGACGATGCGCAGCATTCGACCGCTGTGTGTCAGAACCAACATCACTCCCCCGCCGTGGTGGTTCTATCGCACGACGTACTTCGAGCTCGTACCAGAGTCAAAAATCAGCGACTGGACCACTTTGCCAGCCCCAACTTTGATGACGTTGGCTGGGGTTTGGATCCATTTGCGCTCAACATTGCGTTTTAAGAGTTTGAGTTTTCGAGAAATCACGCGTTTGCTCCACTACAAAATGTAGGAAACCAGTTTGTGGGCGAATACGAGAAGGCAGTCGCTTCACCAAGGTGCGAATCATGTCTGAGAGGACTACGATCTGAGTTGCAGTCCATTTCAAATTTGCAAGACGCGCGCGCTCCAGCTCGATTATCCGGACGATTTGAAATGCGATACAATTCTCGTGTTGCCGTCAACCGGCAGAGAATTGTCCGGATAACACATTCGAACCGACGGGCGATCCGCGACCAAGGACACGCATGATGTACGCGGACCTAGCCGGCGCCATGATGGAGATGGTCTCATTCGTCGACGTAGGCCTCGGCGGCGCCAGAAGTCGGCCTTCTTCCCCGACACGGAGGATGAAGATACGAGCTGCGCAGAAGCAGCCCCGCGCGTGCCCCCAATGAGCACGTCCTTCCGCATGTACCGACCTCGCTTTATCCTTGCACGCTCACGCACGCTATGTAGGGCTCCGCATGGCCGAGCTGTGCTCTCTCGCCATGCGCCCAAGAGCCCAAAGGGTCATCGCTCGTCAACTTCGCTCTCGCCCAAGCCAGCATCATTCAACAGTGGCGCGTACTTGGGCACCATCGAGTTTCCGTCGACACGCTCCGTCTTGTGGTATAACCTTTGCTGCTGCATGAAGGTGCTGACTCATAACCATAGGGACCGCCGGCCGCTGGGGGCAGCCCAAGTAATCCACCCCGAGGAAGCCATTGTGCCCAAGATCACGCTCACCGCTGCCGTTCTCGGACAGATCCACGAAGCCGTGCTTCGGCGCTCGTCGGGGCCCCAGCTCCTTGGTCACGTGCTCTACAGCCAAGCTACGTCGACTTCGAACTGGGCCATTCACGGAACTGCGTTCAGCGTCAACACGGACCCTCGCAACCTCTCGCGGCCACCCTCGTCCTTCCCGGTCTATGTCGTGCTCAAGGAACCGCGCGAACTCGGCTCGGTGTGTTGCATTTCCGAGGCGAGTGCATTCTCATACCGCTGCTGTAGCTCTCCTCCCACGAAGCCATGGTCCATGGCACAACGTACACGCTTCAGCATGGCGGACCCCTCGACGTTGCCCTCTCAGTATGACGATTCGCTTTTTCATGCTTGCATGTGCTTATGCATTCGCTTGCTGTAGATGCGCCTGGTGGTCTCGCTCTTTATGCCAACGCAGCTCAACTTGACGATGGAGCTGGTGGCGCCGACGGCCGAAATCCATCTGTTGCCGATCCGGAACCTTCCGCTGCTCCTCACGCCGCTCGCCAAGGCGCTCATGAAGCTCCAGTCGACGCACGAGAGCGGGCTTGTCACGCTCGATAAGACGCGCAAGATGGTACCGCTTCTGCCGACGGATCCCCTAGCGACGTCGCGGCCGCTTGTGGGGCTCTGGCTCCAGGCGTCGTCGGCCACGTCCTTGTACTACCAGAGTCTACTGTACCACACAATGGCAGTAGCCGGGCGAGAACAGCTCTGGGTCGCGCCGCAGACGTGCTTGGTGGTCAAATACCCCACAGAGACCAAGCAGTGGCTGCCCGAGTTTTTTGAAATGACGCTGGGCACCGACGCGACAAGTCCCGCAACTGTCGGTCTCTTCACGACCACGCGACGCGTGACGGTGGGCCGGTCAGCCACCGTGGACGCCGTCGAGCTCTACCTGCAACAGTCGCACCAACCGATACCTACGGCCGACGTCCCCAGAACCACGGCGTCGCAGGTCGCGCACGAGCCCGAGCCAGCGCCGCATGCGGACGATAGCATGTCCTGTGATGAGCTTCCGACGCCCATGCCGCGCCTCCCACCAACGAACCCTACGGCCAAACCCGTCGTTCGACCGCTGTCACCGCCGCAACCCACGCCACCCGTCGAGCTTGCGTCCTCCGATCTGCTTCGGGAGCACCGCGAACAGATGCAAGCGATGCAACGGCAGATTCAAATGCTCCAGGACCAGCTACAGACCGTACAACGCTTGTACAAATCTGCTGCGACACCCAAAGAGACCCAGTCCGTGGGCACCAACACGAGCTTCATCTTGACCAGTCCTCAGAATGCCTCTCCTCTGACTGGGATCGAGTCTCTGCCGTTGGAAGCTGTGCCATCGTCGCCCGATGAGACCACTGAAGCTGCCAAGCAACCCACCAATCCTTTGACGGTCGGTGGTGAGGATGACGCGCACGCAGCTCCTCTTGGCGGCGTACCCACGGCCGAAGACGCGGCCCTTACCGTCCAAGCGGATGAAGACCTGCCGGTCGTTCTGAACGAAGTACTGCATGACAAGCCAGACGTCGTCGAAGTACGCCAGAGTGCACTGACCCACGAAGCTGCTCTTGTCGGCGCCAAGATCGAGGACGCGCCTCTGTCCGACGACGAGCCAAACAGCGGTATCCAGTACCTCGTGGAGCCCGAAGAGGTCGACGACTATTTATCGGAGCCATCGTCCGTGACGTACCCGCTCTTGCGCACACAGTTTGACTCGGGCACACTGGGGCCACCGGCCATGCCACCAGCGTCCGTGCTGCTGGAAACCATGGACATTCCGCGCATTCGGTACCATCTCAGCCGCGACGACGACTCGGAAGACGACGAAGTCGAAGTGCGCGCGATCGAAGCCAAGTACCTCAAGCGCATGGTCAAGTCCTAGCCCTACACCATTGAAACATTGATACAATCATACCTTGTACAATCTTGTCTTCTTTGTCCTGACCGCCTGCACCGCACGCACTGGCGTTTCTCGTCTGTTGCCACCGATATACGATGCCTAAAAGAACATGACGGCTTGTCGTCATGGGCCTCACTTAGGACCCCACGGGACTGGAGAAGAGCAAGACGCGCCGCCGCTGCGGCCCAGTGAGCAAAGAAGGAAGAAGGGGTGGAGAGGCTAGTCTCTGTGTGTAAATGCTATGGAATCAAAGAAGCGAGCGCGTGTATGTACATCTTGTCGGATCATCAGAGTGGATCTTCAACAGACGCAGTATAGACCGTCCACCACTAAAGTTTACATGAGCTGGCAGCGATTCCACACCTAAAGCTACCTTGTTGTTGCTGCTCCTGATCGATCGATCGACCGGACGTTTGCCAAGTCGCAAGCATCAACACTACGTGGCATCGCCGCGGCCCTTCTCGGGCCTGCAATGGCCGATATCGAGTTTGAGAGGTTATTGACGGGCTCAGAACAGAAGGAAGTCGTCGCCGTCAACGAGCATGGATCTCGGCTCCTGGGCGCACGAGGCCTTTGCGCCGGTCGTGCTGCTCAACACGACGGCCGAGGCCGAGCGCATCGTCGCCAAGAACGGCGGCCTCTCGGTCGAGCAGCTCCTCAACGCCTACGGCGTCTTCGCCAACGCCAACACGCCCGTCCGGTCGGTCAACGGCCCCGTCATGCTGCCCGAGGTGCGCATGCGCTTCCTGCACGCCGCCAACTTTGGCCCGACGCCGCCGGCCGACGCTTCCACCAAGCTCAACCAGGTGATTGCGGACTCGGCCGTACGCGTACAAACGAGCAGTCCGGACAAATTGCCGTGGAAGCTGCCGCCGGTGGGTAGCGACGCCGACGTCCCCGGCTTTCTGCGCGCGATTGGGGGCGACGCGATGGAGCCGCTCTCGTGGTACAAGGCCTTCAAGCACGAGCTGCTCGAGAGCTTCCAGTGCGAAGAGACGAGCATGATCTACCACCCGCACGCCAACGTCCTCGTCGTCTCGTCGACCGAGGGCGACCCGCGCCATGCGTTCCAGCAGCTCGCGTCGCCACAGTCGATGCCTTCTGTCTTCCAAGAAGGCCTCTACGACATGAACATCCCCAAGTACTACATTGTGCTGCACGACGTGTGCGAGACGCAGCAGACCTCGATTGACGCCGATGCCATCTACCGCAACCTCGGGCTCCCGGCCAACTCGGGGGGCGTCATGCACATCAATTCGCTTCCTACGCCCAGCCTCGAGTCGGCGTCGTCCTGGGTCGGCCACCCGTATGTTCGCAACTTGCCGCCGGTAGCGTCGCCTTGTCGCCGTATCGTAGATCTGATTCTTATTCCATAGCTGGAGATGGACGCGCCGTTTGGGTGCTACCTGCATGACAGCGACCACCAGTCGATCCGCAACTTGCTCTGGGACTTTGCTACGAAATGCATGCTGCCGCAGATCGAAGCCAAGATGTTTGCGCTCAACGAGAACGTGGCGGCCGTCAAGAAGGGCGTCAAGAACGCGATCCGGTCGTGGTGGCGCAAGCCCAAGGACACGAGTGCGCGCTCGTCGATGTACGTCTACCGCTACGACAGCATCGAGTCCAACATGCTCTTCCTCGCCGACATGGCGTTTTGCATCCACGACTACGATCTCGCGCTCTCCATGTACCGGCTCGCGCGCGACGACTACAAGACCGACAAGGCGCTTTTGCATTGCGCGCACGCGAACGAGTGCATTGCGCTCTGCCTCTTTCTGCTCCGCGGGTCCTTGCCCCAGATCCACAACGCGATCGAGAGCTGCATCGCGATCTATGCGCGCCTCGGACTCACGTCGCCGCAAGTGTCGACCGTGCGCCACGCGACCCGCACCGCGATCCTCGCCAGCGACATGTACACGGCCCTCTTCCAGCTGGCGCCAACGTCCGACCTCATGGACGCCGCGTCCGCAGCCCTCATCCGCGGGTCGTCGGCGACCGACCCGAGCCAGCCGAGCTTTGGCATCTGCGCGGCCGTCTTGCTCGAGCGCGCAGCGTTTTGCGATTTGCGGTCGCGGACCGCCAAATTCCGGAAATATGGGTTTCGCATGGTCATGGCCGGCCACGTGTACGCGACGATGGGGTACACGCCCCACGCCGCGCGCTGCTATGCGTGCGCGCGCTCCATGTATGCCAACTCGCGCTGGTTTGCCGTCGACGACCACATCACGGGCACGTTGGCCAAGCAGCTCTACTCGCTCTCGCACCCGCAGCAAGCGATCGCGCTCTTGCTGACGCGCATCGGGTCGGGACGGCACACGAAAGCGCAGCAGCAGCAGCTTCTCGCTGAGTTTTACGATATGGTCTCCGAGTGTCTCCAGGACGCCGACGCGCTGCCCGACTTTCACTTGCTCGAGACGGCCGACGGCGCGCAGAAGGTCCTCCTGGTCAAGAACCTCGCGATCCCTGCGATCACGGACGCGTCGGTCGTCGTCTTTGCGCCGTTGAATGCCGTTGGACCGGCGAGTCCGGTCGACATGGACGACGCCGCGTGGAAGCACACGCAGTTGCTACTCGTGCGCGAGGAGAAGATCCAAGCGCTTGCGACGCACAAGACACATTGGCGCGAACTCGCGACCGCGTCGTCGACGGCCCTGCAGCTGCCATCGCGCAACAAGAAGCCGTTGAAAGCGGGCTTGAAGGCGTACATTGTCCACGAATGGATCTACGTCGAGTTTGAGATGAAGAACCACTTGGCGTGCGACGTGGTGCTGTCGCAGTTGCACCTCTTTGGCCACGTCGGCGACGACCAATTTCCATCGGCCACCCACAACGCCGTCCAAGTCGAGTACCAAGACGTGACCATGGCACCGTTCGCCGATACCAAGGTCCGCCTGCGACTGCTGCCGCAAGCCATTGGCCGCGTCGAGATCCTCGGCGTGCGCTGGGCGCTCAACACGGCGGTTCATGGCGAGCACTCGTTCAAGCTCCCGGGCATTTTGCTCCAAGACTCGCTCCAGCACCGTGCCAACCGTGTGCGGGCCCCCAACGACGCGACGCGCTGCGACATCAAACCGCAACTGCCGTGGCTCGGGGTCTCGCTCACGCAAGAGGACGGCAAAGCGGTACCCGACCCGCTGGTTTGCATGGAGGGCGAGGTCCTTCTCCTCTCGCTGACGCTGTCCAACCACGGCGTGGCTCCCTTGACCGAGCTCACGATCGTCTGCAGCGAGTGGGCGTATACCCTCGAGACGTCGTGCCATGCCGTCGGCGCGCTCGGCCACGTCACGACGCTCGATGACTTTGCGTTGGCGCCGGGGGCGTCGGTGTCGATGCGGCTCGTGTGCCAGAGCCAGCACGTGGGCACGCAAACCGTCCGGTTCTTATTCCGCTACAACGGCGGGCGCGTGGTGCCGTTGGTGCTCGAGGCCGAGACGCTCTCTTGCCTTCAGCTCTCGCACGCGATTCACCCGAGCTACAACCGGTCTGGCGAGTACGTGCTCGCGCTAACGGTACGAGACGCGGATGCCTCGAGGACATGTGTGTGAGACCTTATAGGTGGCCAACGCGCGCAAGGACGGCACGAAGGAGGCAACGCCGACCATGAACGTGGCCAATGCGATCGCGTACAGTCACCAGTGGTGCCTCGTCCCGTTTGAACCGCTGCAGGAACCGGCGTCGACCTTGCGCTCCGGCACGTCACTGCAGTGGCAAGAGACGTCGACGCTGTACTTTCGGCTGGTGCCCCGGCACGGGTCCGAGTCGGTGCTGCACAGCATACCGCTCTCGCCAAGCGTGGCACTGCCTGCGTACCCGGTGTTGACATTCTTGACGCTACAGCACGCGGCCGAGCGGGTGCTCGACTTCAAACGCAAGAAGGCGCTCGAGCAGGGCGGCAACAAGGCGCAGCTGCTCCGGTCGATCCAGAGCGTGCGACGCGACAACAAGCAGACCCACGGCGACGACGGCCAGGACGCGGTGCCGGCCTTCGAGCACGTGCCGCTGACGACACCCGATGCCTTGCTCCACCCCGAGGTACTCATTCGTGGACGAATCTTGGAAGGCTCATGGATATGACGGTAGATGGATCTGCATGTGGTCGTGCAGTGGGCGGGCACCGGGCCCGTCGTCAATGGCCTCCAGCGCAAGCGCTGCGTGGGGCACTCGAGCGTCCTGAACGTGCAAGTGCGCACACCGTACACTGCCTCGTCCAACGCGTGTCCGCTGACGATGACGCTCGACTTTGCGCCGACCGTGCGTCTTGGCGCCGTGCCCATGACGCTGCACTTGCGCAATGACGCGTCGGCAGCGTCGCCGCCCATCACGTTTACGCTCGAGACGCTCGTGCCGGAAGAAGAGCACCCGAGCGTCCGCGCGTCGTCGGCAGCGACCACGACGACCGCTCGTGTGTTTTGGGCGGGTGTCACGCGGCGCACGTTCACGGCGCTGCCGCCCGGGTCGCTTGTCGACGTGCCGCTGACCGCGGTCTTTGGCGCGCCTGGTATCTACGATCTGAACCGGTTTCGGTTCATTCTGCAGCGCGACGGCCAGCGACCGCTCACCGTCTTCTTCCCCGTCGAGTACCTCGTACACGTCACGGCGTAATAGACGTCTCGTTATTTGCTTGGCTCCACGTCCACCGTGTTGGGGTGGGCCAAAGCCACCGCGTTATCTCGTACGACGTCCCGCAAGCACACAAGCAGCACACAAAGGACAGGCAAGCGTCCCGTCGAGGGGCCGAGTCTTCTACAGTCTACTGGAGACCCGGCTCGAGTCGGCTCATCACCCGAGTAAAGTTGGACTGTCGACATTGTATTCTCCGCCAAACCACGGGGTTGTCACAAGGTAGCACGTGGATTGGGGGCAGCCTCTTTAGAGACACTACTAGTCGACTACCAGGCGAACGAGCGGCGGCCGAGCATGGTCGCGAGCGCTTGGTTGAAGGGCGCGTAGAACGCCTCGAGACGCGCGCGGGTGTCGGGGTGCAGCGCGCCGTATGCGCGTGTGTTCTTGGCGCTGCTGTCTTCGATCACATAGGGTGGGAGCTCCAAGAACGCAAACACGTCCTTCATCACCGCCTACGAATTCGTCAATACTATGCGACACGCGACATAGCGTAGTACGTGCAAGCCCGACGACGTCTTCATGTCGTCCATGTTGACAATGTGGAGCTGGTCCTTCGGGAACGCTTCAAACCAACCCTGGAGCTGCAGCGCGTAGAGCCCTAACCTCAGCGCTTCATTTGACCGCTCGACACTTGTGTTGATACCTCGGCCAATGAACGAGTGACCGCCGTGCTGGAACGCCAGGCGCGTCTGGAGGTAGACGCGGTCGAATTCATCAAACGACATATTTGGGTGCACGCCGAGCGCCTGGAGCTCGGCGATTTCGGCGTCGACGACTTGCTCAAAGCTCTTGCCGCCGAGCGCATGGTGGCCCCTAAGACGGTGATCAGTTGCCAAGGCCACCACACTTTCCGCACCGGTTCTTGAGCTGCTCGGGGTTCCCGACGGGGTCGGCCGTCATGTTGTAGTGGGAAAACGCGCGGTCGACCGGGTTGCGCAGCGTCGCAAGGATCTTGGCGCCTTGCATGAGCGCTTGGAAGCGGCGAATGACAACCGAGCCGCCGAGAAGGTAGCTGGGCGTCGCTTCGCCCGAGAGCACCGACGGACACGGCCCGAGGACGTCCATGCGGAAGAAGCGCTGGTACATGGCCAAGTGCGCGGCTTGGCCTTCCGGCGTCTCGATCGGTGGCAGCTTCGGATCAAAGCGCCAGTCCAAGTAGTGCGTTTCCTAAACCAAAAACAACAACATTTCACTCTATCGCAAGCCAAAGCTAATGTACCTTGCGGTTGGCCGGCACGACGAGGTCGTGCTGCGTGATGTAGTCGTAGAGCGACGTCGTGCCCGCCTTTTGCGCGCCAATGATGCAAAACGACGGCGTCGGGCGCGCGCCAAACTCGGACGACATGTCGACCGTCCGCCGCGTCTGGTGGAGGACGGTGCCGGGCGCAAGCTTGCGCAGCGGCAGCGACGCAAGAGAAAAGTCGGCGTCGACGTAGTCAAAGATCAAGTGCACGCGCGCTTCACTCGACTTGTTTTCGACCATGTGCTTGCTCGCGTTGTTGAGTTCGTACACGTTGCCTTGGGCAAACTCGACGCGCGTCATCGCATCTTCGTCCAGACCCACCTAGACAAGCCATGAAGCGAGTTAGTTGGTTCTATAAGACTCGAAAGCTTTAGTACCTTGAAGTCGATTTGGTCGTTCGTAATGATGGGCAAATGCACGCGGTGGCAGTGGGCGACCCATGCGCCCGTGTCGTGGTGCACGGGAATGACCGAGCCCGCCGGCATGCGCGCAAACAAGCACCGAATGACCTACAACCTGTGAATCCATTGAACAGAAGAGTACGGGCGACGTACGCGCTCGGGCGGGACGTTGAGCGCCTCGAAGAACGGGAAGAGGAGGTCGCGCCACTGGTCGAGCCACGGGAAATGGTAGAGGTGCTTGAGGTAGTCGTCCGCGAAGATGAGCATGATCTTGCCAATGCCCCAGCCGTCGTGGCCCGACCGCCGCATCGGCACGTTGTTGACTTGTTGCTCCGGGTTCCAAATGTCCATGGTCTCTTCCATGCGCTGGAGACGCTCCTGGAACGGACGCACGTCGACGTCGGTCGCGCGCAGCGACACGAGGTCGCCGAGGTGGCTGCGCTCAGCGAGCGCGACGGTCGGCGCCTCCTTCTCGGACAGCGGGATCTCGCCGATGCGTGGAGCCATCTCTGCGTCAATTTGAAGTGCGACCGACGCCAATCGGACCGCCCGGCTGCGACATGTCACTTGCATGAGCCAATCACATTGCGAGAAAGCGCACTCTTGTTTTTGTGCCGGCTCAAGACACGGGACCGTCGACAGCCAAGTGCGGACAAGCTCAGTATGTTCATCCTGCGAGTCAGTAGTCACGTGGCGGACTCAAGTCCCCGCGTCTGCTCATAGCAAATATCATTGGAAAGAAAATTCATGGAGTCAATGTATTCGCAACAAAACTCTGGTGGGACTTGTCGGTACAAGGTCCAATAACGACTAAAAGCCATTTTTCTTCGGCTTGGAGTCAAAGCGAGGAATGCCGAGATTGTCGTTGTCGAATGGCAGGTCGAATTTGTCGTCGCCACGCGGCAGGCCAAGCGCTTCGTTGTCGAGCAGGTCACGCTGGCGCAATTTCGGGTTCAAAATGGGCCGCGTGATCGGCTTGGCCGATGGAGCCGCCGCGCATTGGCCGAGGACCGCGACGAAGAGGGCGAGCGCAAGGAAGCGAGGCATCATCATGGTGCTACGGCACTCGGTGTAAATGACGTGGCGCAATGAAAGATGTAGTACCAGTTGAATTGGAAAACGAAAAGTGAAGCTCGAGTTGGCGGCGCGATGGCAAAGTTGTGTTTGGGTCTTTGCGACGGATTGCAAGGTGCGCGGGATGAGTAGGGAACGCCACTCGGGTACGACCCTTGTAGTAGCTCTTTCATTTCATCTTCGGATCGAGTACAAACCACCGCAGTCTCGGGCTGATGCCCATCATAACGTTAAAAGAAAAGCAACTACAGTGTAGTTGCGAGCCGACGTGACGCAAGTGCAAGAATCTCGATGGCTTTGGTCAATCCAATGCGACGGATGAGGCTCAGACTCGTGTCGCAACAAAGACGATCGTAGCTAGGCAAATGGACCGTGACCTGTTGCCGAGGAGCGAGCAGGAGGTGTCACTTTAGGCCCACGTAGCTCAATCTTTCATCAGCAGCAAAACTACAGCGAACGAGAGAACAAAATTGCTGGGATCAAAGTGTTGTTGACTGCAACATTTGGCTTGCCCGCACAGCATCTCGTTCGACGAGGCTTGGCAAATGCGTCCGATACCTTTACGCGCTAAGTCCGCAGAGTAAGCAAGTCGACTAGCCATTGCTGTGGGTTGGTGTGTGCTAATAAGGGACGGGGCAATGAATGTGAGAGCAATGCACGAGAGACAACGTATGAACCAGAACGATATTTTAAAGGTTTGCGTTGGGCTGTTGGTGATGGATGGTGCGTATGGTGGTGCTCCCGCGCAAGGGAGAAAATCTGGCAAAACAGGTGCGTTTCGGCAGTAGCCAACATGCACACAAGATCAAACGCGTTTGAATCATACGTATAACTGGCCTGGCGAGTGCTCTTGATGTAAGTAGCGTTTGAGGCGAGCGACTTGTCTCGCGTGTCATGAGCACGCAGTGTTCGCGCGTTCTTCACTCGGTTGCGTAGGCCGCAGTACCATATAGTGCCATGATGTAGCAGTCAGTGCAGGCGACGCGCCGGTAGTAGTTGGGTACATGCGATTCGACGATGAACCCGGCGCGCTTGTACACTTGGATCGCGTCCGCGTTCTCGACTTGCACGTGCAGGTAGATACGCGCATACGAAGCGCAGCTGTCAACCGCCGTTTGAAGCAGGAGGGATCCAACGCCTTTGGCTCGGTGGCGAATGTCAACGGCCAACGTCCGAATACACGCAGTACCGTCGCCTTCGGGCTCGACGAGGATGGCGCCGACGAGAGCATTCGAGGAGCGCTGGACAGCAACCCAGCTCATCTGGCTCGCAATAGCGTCCTTGTAGGCGTGCTCGGCCACTGGGACTGGCAGCGCAGCCATGTTGAGCCGACGCGTCGCAGCGACGTCGGAGGACGCGAGCCGCCGGACCTCGAAGTCCGTTGTTGCCATCACGCCGAATGAGCAAGCGCGCTCTGATTGGTGCTTTCCAATGTCAGGACGTTCTCTGATTGGTCAGCACTAAATAGGACCCTGTGAATCCGCTGGGCAACACGACTTATTGTCGCTCCAAGCTTGCGGCGGCAACTAGAGTCGCCACCAGCAACGTACGGTCCTCTTCGTTGCGATACCAAGCTTCGCCGAGCCTCAACGACCAAGTTTGGATGGCGTTCTCGATCCAAACCATCCAAATTATCGCCAACTCCTCGACAATGCAGCAGCAACTGTACTGCAGTATCTTCTTTTGCTTGGCGCAGAATCACGAGTCTGCGGGAGGTTGCACTTTCTTCAAACGACGAGATTCACGACCAGTGTCGTTGCAGTGATCCCTACTCATCCCGCGCACCTTGCAATCCGTCGCAAAGACCCAAACACAACTTTGCCATCGCGCCGCCAACTCGAGCTTCACTTTTCGTTTTCCAATTCAACTGGTACTACATCTTTCATTGCGCCACGTCATTTACACCGAGTGCCGTAGCACCATGATGATGCCTCGCTTCCTTGCGCTCGCCCTCTTCGTCGCGGTCCTCGGCCAATGCGCGGCGGCTCCATCGGCCAAGCCGATCACGCGGCCCATTTTGAACCCGAAATTGCGCCAGCGTGACCTGCTCGACAACGAAGCGCTCGGCCTGCCGCGTGGCGACGACAAATTCGACCTGCCACTCGACAACCACATGCTCGACAACGACAATCTCGGCATTCCTCGCTTTGACTCCAAGCCGAAGAAAAATGGCTTTTAGTCGTTCTTGGATCGTGACAGGTCCTTGCACAGTTTTTGCCAACATAACGATACACTCGACGGACCTCGTCTACTTTGTCATGGTGTTCGATCGTACATTGCACGACATGCACCATGGATGGCCTCGGACATTCGCTTTCGTTGTATCCTTCAACTACAATAGTAGAAACCCTTGATGAGTCTCCTTTCTTGGCTTAAAATGGCATATTTCATCTTGTACGCAGTTAGAGTGTCGTGACCTTGAAGAGAATGTCCGTGTCCGTTTGCTCGGCGCGAAATTGACGCTCGAATGCCATCGCTGCGTCTTGCACGACAGCATCGGCTTCGGCGCTATACATCGTCTCTAAGCTCGCATCGTAAAGAAGAGAAATGCGTACGTGGCGGCCGCCATCGTCTTCTCTTCGCGTTCGCACAGCAAAAGCATGTGCTGCATCTCGAGCACACTTTGGCGAAGTGTCTCGACCGTCTTGGCGCGCACAAGGGCCTCGTACTGAGCCCGATATGCGTCTCGTTGCATCTGAAGCTGCGTTTCCTTGGCTCTTCTTGCCTCGAGCTTTGCGGCGCCATCGTCTCCGGCTGCATTGACACTGGCGCTGCCGTCGCTTCGGTCGACTTGCTCTTCGAGTGCAGCAACGTGTACCTTCAAGGACGTCACTTCACTCCACGCACTCTGGAGCATGGCTTGCTCGTCGTCGTCGAGCTCACCGGCCGTAGGGTTGCTCAAGTAGAGTCGGCGGCGGTCGGCCCGCCCCAAATCGTTCTCGAGCTTACTCAGCACCTCTTGTACGTCGCATTCGTCGGCGTGCAACGCACGCACGTGCGCCAAGAGGTCTTGCCGCTCCTTGGTGACGGCGGCGTGTTCTTGCTCGAGAAGGGCAAGGTGCCGCGCCTTTTCTGGCGCTTCGTCAGCCGCCTTTGGTGTTGCGCTTCGCCCTTTCGCGCTCGACGGTTTGTGGGCGGCGTCGCGCTTGCTTGATGCAGCCCGCGCGCGGTCGCAAGCGCGCTGGAGGGTCTCAACGGCCCGGACGTCTTTGGCGTTGCTGATCGTGTACCGTGAGAGCGATGCTTTGGCAGCAAACACGTCTTGTTGGAGGCCGGCAATCTCGTGCTGCAGCGCCGCCACCGCCGTCGTGAGCTCGACCTGCACAACGTACGTGGCTTGGCTCTCCAAATCGACGCGCTGTGGCTTGGTCGTCTTGGTCTCACTTTCACTAAGCTCCATCACAGTCGATGGCTTTGGTTTCGGGATGCGGCGCGCGGCAAGTCGCCGGTTCTCGGCGTCAATCGCTGCGAGTTCGCGTTGCCGGTTCACGCTCGAATGGGCGCGGTGGGTTGCAACACCCTGCGGGACGGTAGGCAGCTTGACGGCGCAACCCTTTGCTGCCGCGACGCGCTTCTTGATGGCAGCGTTCTCCCGTTCGATTTCAATCGCGCGCTTGGAGCGGTTGATGGCGGGGCTGGCCACGTGCTTGCGCTTTGCTGTTGCTGTTGGGGGTTTCTTCTTGAGTGGGTTCTTTGGCGCTATCGGGCTCTTTGTGGTGGTTGCAAGTGCGGGCGATGCATCGCTTGGTGGCAGCTGCAGTTGGTGCGAGAGGCGGAGGTAGAGACCGCCAAGGACCTTGCCTTGCCGCGAGGTGAGTGCATACTCTTCGTCAAAGCGCGTTTGGAGACCCTCGGGGCAGTCATCGTCGAGAAGCGACGCCACCGGCACCAGCAGTTGACCGACAAAAAGGTTGGTGTGCGGAGTGTGATCAAAGACCGCGAGGAGGATGTCGCCGCGCAGCGAGGCCCAGGGTTTCATGTCGTATTCGTTGGGGATCTCGTAGCGCCAAGCAGCGTCGCTCCACGTCGGCCGAGCGCTCGCCGAGACCACCGGCGTCGTGTACAGCACGGTCTTGCAGCGCAGCATGACGTTGCCTGGACCTGGCGCGACGAATGATACCTTGACGAACGCGCTGTAGATCGTGTCGAGCTCACTGCGAAGGTACTCAACACGGCCTTGCAAAATGGCGATGCCAGGGCCGGCGTGCCGTCGAAGCGCCAGCGGCTCGGCTGGCGGCCGTATCTGGCTCGTCGACGGTATGTGAATCGCCCCGATGTCGGCTTCGTACGCGTTTGAGATTACATGGTGGCGGCTGAAGGCAGGTCGAGTTGCTACAGGAGCCGGTGTCCAATCGACTGATGACGAGTCGTCGTCGTCCGTGAGGTTGCTTCTGGCACTGGTGCCTGCTGGTGTCGTTGAGGTCGACTGTGGAAGGGGTAGCGCAGCCACAGTCGTGTGTCGTTGGTCGGGGATTGTAGGTGCGATGGCTTCGGAATCCGGCGAGAAGGCTGTCGCTGCTTGGGCGGGTATCATCTCGCGTAATGCCTCGGACGTGGTTTCCACTTTGAACATGGTGGCGACGTTGGCGCTGGACGCTCGAAGGTATACGTCCTCGTCGGTCAACTCATCTGGCGGCGGCTCCATGGCACCGACGACGACGTCGTCTTCCGCGTCGTCACCCGGCGGCTCCATGGCCTCGACGTCGTGGTCAACACTCGTCTCCCGCAGCACGTGGAGACGCTCGGTGTTGGTGGCGTCTTCCCACTGCTCGTCGCCGTCGTCGTACAAGACGCGGTACCCGACCTGCGCATCGTACTCTTGGATGGTTCCTTGAAACCAGTCGGCTTCAGTCGCCCAGTAGACCTCGACGCGCGCCCCAACGTCCCGCGACGGATCCATCAGTTACGGCGAACGACTACAGATGTACTAGCGTAGTCCATACACCCAGCAAACTCTGCGCAAGCACATTGCCTCACTAAATGCGCTGATAATGCTATGCGACCATATGCAATGTCAAGTTGTACATGCTTGATGACAGGCATGGTGTCTACGATTCTGACTTCGGAAGGGTGCGTCGTGGAGAACGTTCGTAGAACGTGCGGGTCTGAAACGGGCGAAGCTTTCGTTGGCACAGCGCCGAGAAAGGCCGGATGGACAAGCCACCGCTCGGTCGCGACGGGCGCAACCGCAGCTCGTCCATGGACAGCACGTACGCGTGCCCCGTCTTTGCCGAGCCCGTCGCCGCGCCAAGCTCGAGCAGCAGCAGCAAGCGGTCGCGGTCGCGGACGTCGTCGTTCTCGCGCGAGATGAGCGACGTCAACGTGTCACGGCTGCCCGCCGCGCCGCAGCTCCCGAGCGTGCCGTACCCGGTCGACCCGTACCACTTTTCGTGCCACCACAGCGTCGACACGAAGGACGCGGTCGCCGAGGTCATGCGGTCGCTGAACCGGCACGACGTCGACCTTGTCTTCCAAGTGCACAAGTGCAAGTTCAAATGCGTCAAATACGTGGCGTACGACCGCATCGACTTTAACATTCGGCTCTACCGCGCCGAGACGCAGTCGCTTCTCATCGAGTGCCAGCGGCGGTCTGGTAGTCTTCTCGCGTGGGACACGCTGTACCGAGACATGTACTGTGATTTGTGCAGTATCATCGACCGGAGCGCGCCAACCTGTGCGCAAAGCGGCGGCCAGAAAAAGGTCCTTCTCGAGACGCCACTTATCGCGCCGTCCCGGGATCCGCGCGGATCGACCTCGTCGGGCATGGACGTGTTTGTCATTATGCTCACGTCCCACTTTGTCGACATTCGCGCCGAGGGCTGCTCGGCCGTGGCGGCGGCGACGCGGACGCTGGCAACAGCGCACAAGGCGGCGACGTGCGGCCTCATTGCGCTTCTCAGTGCGCAGATCCAAGAAATGTCGGGTTTCGAGCGCTCCACCGTGCTCTCGTCGCAGGCGCCCATCGTACCGTCCAGCGTTCGACGGGATATCGTGCGCTGCGCCGTCGGCGCGATCGCCAACATGGCGCTCGCGTATCCGAGCTGCGCTGGCGCCGGCCCCCACATTACCGAGCAGTTTCAATCCGCATGGTCGTCGATGCTGCACTGGCTCAAAGCCACCAGCACCGACGAGTATACGCTCAAGGAGCTCCAGCGCGAAGTGTGTCGAGCGGTCGTGCCGCTCCTCTCGCTGCTTCCAACAGCCATCTCAGCGCGCGACAAGAGCATCCTCTTGGCATTTGTGACCCGCGCGCAGTCGGACGTGACGATGACGTCAGCGTGCACGCACCTCCTCGACGCCATCACCCGCGTCCAGAACGTCGCACTGTAAGGATACACCACATTCCGAAGCCTCCGCCACGTAGATAGCATCATATAACAGTGGAGCGTATCGTAAGACCGTGTGTCGTCGTCACGCGCATGCCCAGCACGGACGGTGCAAGTGGCACCCTTCTCCGGGCGTTTCGATGGACGGGTGCCGAGGACTGCAGCATGAACGCGCCTGGTTTCCAGCGTTATCGACAAGATGCCAATTCAGTTTATATAGAGCGACAGAGTCCTAAACGACTAGACTATGGTAAACTCGAGGTTTTCGATTTCGACGAGCGCAAAGAGCGCCTCGTGCATGAGGGCCCGCGTCGGGTACAGTGGCAAGTCGAGCCGGTTGAAGCACGAGTGCGCCTTGGGCAACACACCGACGGAATACGCCACGGCTTGGAGCGAGAACGGACAGAGTGTCCCGTCGTAACTCGTGAGGCCCCGAAAGCCCTGCACCGGCACGCGCGACGACCCCGTTGTAAACTGCAGCAGTTTCGACCGGTCGTCGCGGCTCATGTCGTGCTCGAGAACGTCCCAGAACCAGTTGAGACTCTCGGACCGCCGCAAGGTCGTCGAGACGCTCGTCGACGCCTTCCAGTCGGCCACGTCGACCTCTGCGACGCCGCACAGCACGAGCTCCAGCTCCTTGTAGTCGAACGGCATGAGCAGTTCTTGCGGTAGTACCTACACCCACTCGTCATCACGACGTCGACCACGAGGCTGTTCTACCTCGTACACGCCTTTGAGAAGGCTCGTGAGCTGCGCGGCGACGCGGTCAAAGAGCAGATGCCGCACCATGCAGTCGACGTACGACGCCTTGTTGTCGTTGGTCACGGCGATCTGCCGACCATTCGGCACCAAGTCGACCACCTCCAGCGTCGCAGGCATTGCCGCACTAAAGTCCAGTCCGAGCTCCGACACGTCGTGCTCCAGAAGGTACTGCAGGCTGCTGTACGTTTGCGTATCGAGGTACCGGACGTCTTGGAGGCTCAGTGGCGTGCCGAGAATGGCTTTGAAGAGCGGAAGCGCGAGGCGGCACGGGAGGACTTGGCCGTCGAGGACCGCGCGGCCAAGGAGGCGGCCGATCGCGCGGTAGCAGAGGAGGTGGTCGGGGCCGTACGCGGTCGCCGAGGTCGGGTTGAGAGCGTACGCGAAGTCGGTGGCGAGCACAAAGAGGCCTTTGGCGGGGTCGAAGACGGCGGCTGTGAGAACAGTGTACCACTCGCGCTGGATGCCACCAGCGTCGACGCCGCTCTCGCCAAGCATCGTGACGCGTGTGAGGGTGCAGAGCTGGGCGGGTTGCATGTGGAGCAGAATGTAGAGCGACTCGTCAAAGATCTTGTCGCGGTAGACCTTGAGCTGGGCGTACTTCATGCTGATCGACGAAATGTGGGCGAGGAGCCAGGCATATTTGAGCGAGAAATTGAGGTCCGAGAGCGCTCTCAGGTGCTTGAACCACCACAGCGGGAGCATCTCGCCGAGGAGCGTTTTCCCGGCGCTCGCATCCGTGAGCTGGTTGATCGCGAGGTTCATCTCATCGCACGCGTAGACCGACTCGATGACGTACTGGGTCCCGAGCGCGACGTCATTAGCTTTCCAGAAGGCAAGGCCCGCAATGTCGAGGCTCCGCGTCCAGAGCTTTCGCGATCTGTCACAGACAATCATGGTCATTGATGGTAGAAGGAAGACCAATACGTACACGGCGCCCGCCTGAAGACTGTTGAGTTGATCGTACTGAACCACGCAGCTCTCGATCGGGCTCGGCGTGGTGGTAGCAAAGACGTCCAAGAGGATACCTACAAGTCATTCCGTACACGCGAGCAAAAGAGGTCGAGGCGACTACCGCGCTTCGTCTCGCAGAGCATGCAGTATTCGTTCTGCTTGAGATTGGCAAAACGGCAAACGCCGCACAGCCACTTGGCTTTTTCAAGGCTCCTACACACCGCGATAGGACACTCGTTTTGAGTAGGATGGACGCGTACTCGTCTTCAATGTCTTCGCGCTTGAGGCCATGTAAATGCGCAATGTAGCTATTTTGCGCAATAAGTCCGAATTTTTTCGTTGACAATCAGGGTCGCACTCGCAGTCGGAAGGGCGGTGGGTCCAGCGCGAGTACGTGGCAATCGCAGCGTAAATAATGAGGCCGCCGCCGACGCAGCAGCCCACGATGAGCGCGATGGCGGTCGAGACGCTGCCCGCCTCCATACTGCAAGCACAACCCGAGTGTGAGGTGGAATCCAAATTTTTAGAGGACGCTTCAACTCAGATGCGACCGCGTTGGCTAAAAACACGCGGTTTGGACGGCCCCGAGCGAAGCCAAGCGACGTCGCGGAGTGCGGTTTGATGACGGACAGCGACCTCTTCGTCGTCACGGATGCACGAACGACGGCACGACCTCGACCTATCGGCAGCTGTATGACAAAGGACCAGCCAACTAGACAAGGTGACGTCCCCGGACAGTGCGAGTTGCGTGTTTTTCATCTGATTCGACCTCACGGTCGATGGGCGGACGTGAAATAGAGCCCGTGCACCCACGTCGTCGGCGAAGTCAAAGTTCATCGCACGATGGCCGATCGGCACAAAATGATGACGTCTGACGATCACAACACGCTGGCTGTCCAAGCAAGACCGGCGCGTAGACCAACGCCATAGCAACAGGACCCCTGGTCACCCAGGGGGGTCAAGGCTTACCCTAGGGTAGACCCGCCATGATGGCAATCACAAAGGTTGTGGTGGGAGGATTCCGCGCAGACGCAAACGTCGACAGTGTCGAAGCTGTCGCAGCGCCACGTGGAATTTATTCTTCAGAAACCCTCATTGTTGGCAGGAATTCTTTCGGAGCATCCCTAAAGGTTGCTACTTCGCAGTTTTAAAATTTAGGACATCTTCGCGAAGAGAAGAGGAAATGACTGCCAGAGCAAGTCGATGTCGGGTCTCATTTCCCGTTTTGCTCTCGCCATGCCGGACTGGGACCCATTGTACCTCCAAAAACGAGACCTCAAGCTACTCGTGATGCGCGAGGCCGCCGCGCTCGCCGCGTGCTCCGGCAACTCGACCGTCGCCAAGTCGCATTCCCTCTGCCGTGTGCCTGCAGATACGCCCAAACCGGTCGTGTGCCACATCACGGCTGTCGCGCCGATGACAGCGCCTCGAACCACGGGGCGCAGGCTCTCGGAACCAACGAGCTGGCTGCAGACGGCACCACTTTACAAATTTGGTGTCACGTCATCAGCGGCAACCCCCCGACCCCCGACCGCGCCCGAGCCATTGCAGCTACTCTCAGACGTGATCGATACACGCGGTGCTCGGACAGGCGGGGCGAAGCCACCGCAAGCCTCCGGTGATTTCTCCGATGATCAGCGATCCCCGGAGCCATGCGTGCACTGGACGACCTCGGTCATTCTCCATGCGTCCCCAGCGCTCTGGAAGGTCCTTGCACGGGCGTCGTCGACGCCGACATCCCTTGCAGCCAGGAGGGACCCTAGTACACGGCGTCATTCAGCTCCAGAGCGTCAGTTCGAGACAACATTTAGGCCACCGCCTGTTGCTTGTCCAGGGTCTAGACGTGCGGCGGACCAGCGCCCAGCTTTGCACTCAACGAATGAACAACCCCGTGCCGGGATGGGTACGTTGAGCGAACTTGAGCGTTCAATATGAATACCTGTTCGTAGGTGGATCAACCAAAGCCGGGCCAAAGCAGAGCCCTCTCATTTCCAAGGGTGGGACCCGACTCCAGGACCTCACCGCCCGTCCAGTGGCCTCGACCACAGTGAGTAAATCGCAGTTGCGAGCAGCATAATCACTCATGGCGTCACCCTCCCAGGAGATGAGCACAAAAGTGGCACATGTCGCTGAGGACGCGATTCCTTCATGCTGCGCGCAAAGAACAGAGGCCCTTGTGACTGAGCTGCAAGCAGCGCGAGACGAGTGCAAGGCTGCCAAGGCGACGCTTCACCGAGCGGTCGGCGAGCAAGCAGCGACCGTGGCTGCCTCATGGAGAGCGCAACGAGATCTTCGAGACGAGATCCAGCGTCATCTTGTTGCAACCCGCTATCGTGAAGCCAAAGCTGCTTCGGAACATGCGCACGAGCTCCAAGTGCTGCAGCGTGAGCTCAATCAGGTGGCGGGTGAACTCGAAGGAGCCCTCGCAAACCACGCTGCGAGTGTCTTCGCCTACACCGAGTTATTTGCGTCAACTGTCGCCGGCCACGAAGTTACAATTGCCTTTCTCGAGGCTCAAATGAAAGCTGCAGCCAACGCAACACCGTGACTCTTGGAGCGCCAGAATAAGATCAGAATAAGATAGTTTAGTTAACCTGCTGTGCGAGTAGGCGTCACCCACCTTCACGAACACTTGTGGTGGTGTACTAGCACGTGGGTACTTGCGGAAACGATACCCTTGGTCAGCTCCCGCCTCAGCTCAGGCGAAGTGCCAAGTTGCGCAAGGGCCATGAGGGTGCGAGGCGCTTCAGGTCCGATGGGAATGAGACGAGCAGCGTCATCACGAGCAAATGCACTCGGTGACTACTACTTGCACTTGGGCCGCGACAGGCGCTTACATGAGATGTGGCACATCGAGCGACAGCACGCTATGTTCAATGTGTGGTCCCCAACTTTCGGATGTGGCTGAAAAACACTTGCGGTTTGTATGGTGACGTGGGCGCACATCCTTCCAGAACGTCCAACTCTTTTGTGGGCGTCGACGCATTTCAAGCCAAAGTCGCATTTGCACTCTCGCGTACTATGGTCGCCGAGATGTACATCGTCGCGGCGATTGCGGTCGTCTCCATCCTTGGCCTCGTCATTGTGGTGCGCATCATGGCACACTTCCACCACAAGCAACACGCTGCGCTCTCCACGTAAGAGGAGCCGACCATTCCTTGGCCTCTTAGGGTGTGCCAATGCAATAGGCAACTCGACCACCTCCGAGGTCTCAAGCGCGAGGACATTGAAGACGCGTGCGGCTTGTTGGTGCATCGTTCTGGGTCATGACGACGTTGTAGGTCCCTGGAAGAAACCAAGTGGGTCTGCACGAGCTGTGTCTTTGCCAATTCGAGCTCAAGCGACGCGTGTATGCTATGCACAACGTCTCGAGGTTGGTGCGTTCGATGGCGATGTCGGCTTTACCTTGTCAGTAGCCATCGCGACGGGGCCGCCACAACAGCCGCGTTGGCTCAGCACCATCCAACTCGGCGCCAGGTACGTTTCTTCTCGGTCTATTCTGCTGTAAAAGCGGCGGCTAGACAACGCACGCAGTGGCAGCGCGCCATTGACGTCTATGGCAACCCTTACTGGCGATGTGATTCTGCACAAGCCGCGGACGGCTGCTATGTCGTGAGTACGAAGGACGGTATTAGCTATACACTACAGCCCCTCACCGATGCGAGTGCTCGCATCAGCCAGTACGGCGAACACATACCAAGCTGGTGGTTCCCGCGCTGCCAAGAGATTGCAAGCTGGACCTTTCACCTCAAGTACGCGTGGCTACACTCCCAGATCCACAATTTGCTGCACGGCTACGCCCAAGTTCGCGTCTACCGCGACAGAATATTTGAAGAGTCGATTCCACTCCTGCTTCTCATGACAGCCAAACACCTCTGCGCTGCAACGCGCGTCATGATGCTTGGCGAGAGCGGCGTCGACGCTGGTGGCATCCAGCGCGAGTGGTACACTGTTCTCACAACCGCCGTCTTCGACCCCGCCAAAGGCCTCTTTGTGCTCGCCACCGACTTTGCATACGCTCTCAACCCGACCTCGGCGACCGCGTACGGCCCCGACCACCTCCTCTGCTACCGCGCGATCGGCCGCCTCCTTGGCCGCGCGGTCCTCGACGGCCAAGTCCTCCCGTGCCGCCTCGCGCTTCCGCTCTTCAAAGCCATTCTCGGCACGCCACTGAGCCTCCAAGACGTCCGGTACCTCGATACGCAAACGTACAGCAGCCTGCAGTACCTTCTGGAGCACGACGTGTCGGAGCTCGGACTGGACTTTAGTGCGGCTATGCCTGCGACGCTGGAGGTGGTCGACTTGGTGCCGAATGGTCGGCAGATCGCCGTGACCAACGACAACAAGGCGTCGTACGTCGACTGCATGGTGCGGTATTTGCTCTTTGACCGCGTCGCCGTGCAGCTCACGAGCCTTCTCAAAGGCGTGTACGAGGTAGAACAGCCTCGTGGTCGACGTCGTGATGACGAGTGGGTGTAGGTACTACCGCAAGAACTGCTCATGCCGTTCGACTACAAGGAGCTGGAGCTCGTGCTGTGCGGTGTCGCAGAGGTCGACGTGGCCGACTGGAAGGCGTCGACGAGCGTCTCGACGACCTTGCGGCGGTCCGAGAGTCTCAACTGGTTCTGGGACGTCCTCGAGCACGACATGAGCCGCGACGACCGGTCGAAACTGCTGCAGTTTACAACGGGGTCGTCGCGCGTGCCGGTGCAGGGCTTTCGGGGCCTCACGAGTTACGACGGGACACTCTGTCCGTTCTCGCTCCAAGCCGTGGCGTATTCCGTCGGTGTGTTGCCCAAGGCGCACTCGTGCTTCAACCGGCTCGACTTGCCACTGTACCCGACGCGGGCCCTCATGCACGAGGCGCTCTTTGCGTTGACACGATTGGAGTCGGCGGCGTTCACCCTCGTATAGCAAAAACTAGGGTTGTATAATTATGACGGTGTGCATTCCTGGCTAATGGTGTAGAATGTTGGACTGGCGATTGTCTCGCCAGTCAGCCTTGGCCTCCATCATGACCGGGCGGCTATCTCGCCAGTCCGACTTGGCCTCCATCATCATCGGGACGCGGCTACTGTCTCGACCGTCCGACTTGGTTTCCATCATGACATCGCAGGCCGATAACTGCGTCTCGTTGTCGGCCATGACCGGTGTGCACTGGTTGCCGTTCGTGTGGCCTCGGACCTCGTACTGCGAGGGCTTGAACCCGCCTTGCGATCCCTTGTAGCCACTGTGGGGAATGGGCGACGTCTCGACGTTCGTCGCGTAGAGCCAGTGGTCGGCCTGCTGCTGGCGCGACCGGCGATAGAAGAGGACGCCGAGGACAATAAATGTAAGCAGGAGGAGGATCGTCGTGACGGTCATGCCAATCGCAAGGCCGTTCCAGACAGACGCGTCGTCGGGCCCCACCGTCGTCGCTTCGGGCGTCGCCGTTGCAGTCTTGTTGAGGATCTTGGGAATGATGACATCGGTCGTCGCTACAAAGAGGTGACGCATGAGGACACAACGAGGGCTATGGTAGCGTACAGCAGTCGGCCAGCGTGCCTTGGAAGGGGCAGATTTTGGTGCCGGTCACGCGTTCGTAGCAGAGATTCTTGCCCTTGGCGTCCGTGTAGAGGCACGGTGGGCAGAGCTGGGTCGCCCGGTCGCACGGCGTCGCACCGTGGGCCAAGCACGTCGCCATGGAGCTGCAGATCGGGCTCAGATCCGCAACGAGGGGCTGCACGAGGCAGAGCAGCAGGAGCAGCGTGGCAACGACTAGCGATAATATGTGTTAGCTGCGGGCGGGTGGAGACGAGGTACCTCGCATAGTCTGACTGCTTGCGACGAGTTCAATTCGACAATCAACAAAGCTAGCATCGACGAGCCATGTGGCATCAGGTGCGTGTATCAGATCGGCTGGCTTTCCATACTTGGATCAAGTCGTTGGCCATGTCTGTCACGTGAGCACCCGAGGTTGCCATAGACACGGGTTGTCGTCACGCGCGTGGGATGCCGATTAAAAGAACATTCAGCCCTTGTTCTTTAAAGGATCATTGGCGTTCGACTCGCGCTTGTATGCAATAGAAAACAATTGTGCTATTTCTTTTTTGTTTTTTAAACGACCGCGCGTCCTTCAAGCATATGATTGGTTAAAATGCAGAGGCGCCCGGCGTCTCATTGGGTGAAACAAGTCGGGACTCTCCCCAAGCCCGGCAAACGTGGCTGCCGATTCCAATGAGCACTCGGTAACGCGGGTCCGAGGCACCCGAGGTCCGAGGCGAGCTTGACGGCAAGACGTATGAGTGCGCTATAGATATGTGTAGAAGGGCGAGACGGGAGGGTCGTTGACGACGACGCTGCGCTTGGATGCCACTCTGGAGCTGGTTCGTCGCCGACCAGACGAGCTTCGAAAGTGCAGCGACCAACTGCACGCGGCGCTTCCTAGACAAGCGCTTTGCGACGTAGCACAACCCCGCAAACAAATGACGCACTGACCCGCTCTGAATGTTTGCTGCATAAACACCCCCGCGCCGATCGCCTCCTCAAGCTCGGTTGACTTGTCCAATCTCTCGCACGAATGTGCCACATTTATTAGTATGAATAGCGTACTTGAATGGTGAAGGTCACAGTTGCTGGGAAGTAGACCCTTCAAATGTACTAGCACGTTAGAGTAATCATTCACCGCAAGATACGGCCAATACGACTACAACGGCGAGGCATCCTGGGTGTGCTCGCTTATTGCTCACCAGCGCGCGATGCATATCGGGTATACGGC